CAAAACTAGGGACCTAGAACCAGAAATCAATTGCTTGGCCATTGGGATGGCCTGGGACTGCTTGCTTTTGAACCCTCCCGGGTTGCGCTGTTGCCGCCATTTGGTGAAAACAAAACCCTCAAAGCCCGCCAAAACACGGATTCTTGTACTTCTTACATTTCTGGGTGGGCATAAAGAACCACCCTGAAAACGGCTCAATGCGCGACAACCCTCGCCTGGCGCCCTTCACGGAGATGTACTCCGAGACGACATGGCATGCCGCGTGCAGAATCGTGCCTCACGACTTGCCCTCTGCTCCAGACATGCGACTTGGAAAGGACATACTCTTGCCCGGAAACCAGATGCTCCTTGTTCGGGCCAACACTGGCGAAACATGCGTATGAATAAAAAATCAAGCCTTTCCGTCCAGCCCCAACATGAAGCAAGACAACCAAGTTCAATCAATGCCCATATCCTCTTGTGCTGCTGGTGAAGGGTGAACTGGCCTGTGATGGCAAACTACCGCCAGCAAGTAAACTGGTGCGTCAGACATGGCGAAATCCTTGAAAGCCCGAATAACTCAACTTTGTGTTGGCAACCGTGCTGCTGCAGCTGCATATACATAATTATATAGTGAAGGCGGCCTTCATGATGCTTTCTTCATTATCAAATCTGACTTAGCTGACTGATGGTCTACCATAGTCATCCAAGTTTTCCCGAACACAAGCTACAAAGCTACGCTACTTGATTTGGACCCGCCGGCGCAATGCGCGCTTACCCCTCCCCCCCGCCTGCAGCGACCATCGCTGTGCCGCTTAGGACCTGCCAACCCCCCCCGCAGAACATTCCTCCTGTGGTTGGGGGGAAGCCTCCCCCACAGGACATCCACAGCTATCAAAGCATCCATCGCCCGGCTTCCACTCATGACATCGCGTCGCAAACGAAGCTAAAAGATGCCAGCTGATTCGGCCCTTTTGAGAAAACAATGTGCCCAGAAGCGTTTTTGAGGGATACCGGCTTTTGCATTGCTTACAAGCTCATTGTTTCCAGGCTGAAGCACATTGCGTGTTAAAGCAAATTGTTCATTCTTGCAGTGTGGCTTCTGCCAGACGCAAGGGGAATCGTGTCTGTGACTCTGAGCAGCAAGACCGGACAAATAAGAAACACACCTGCAGGCAAACGGCTTCTCGGCAAGGTGTCCTTTGGGCGTCTTGCCAAGAAGTACAAATAAACGATCCAAAAACAATCGCCACATACGCCAAGAACAACGAGCAACCAATTTAAGAACCCGGGGGGATCAACAAGAAACACGAAATAGACCAAGACCAACTAATTTAAGAACAACCAACTTCACTCATCTAGCTTTTTGTACCTAAAATATATAGGGACTTCAGTTTTTTTTACCGAAAGGCGGTGGTTCTTCCTCCCCCGTGAGTTTTCTTTCCGAGGCCGCCTCCGGCCCCAGCTGCCGGGCGCCGCAGCCTGTGAGCGCCAGCCCAGCCACCACCAGGGCGATGCCAAGCCACTGGGACTGCACCAAGCGACGCCTCGCTCGAGAGCTCGCCGGAGCCGCGCGAAAGGAGGGCCAGCGCTTTGAGCGGGTGGATGCGGGTCTTGGGCTGCTTTTGGGCGTTCTGAAGCTAGGGGGCCCTTCTCAAGGGAAAAAGGAACCCACCTGCTTGGATGGGGCCCCCAATTTGGAGAAACACCCATGTACCCGCTAAGAAATCCCACCAAAGCCTTGGACAGGTGTGTGTGTGTGTGTGCCTTTGCGAGGGAACCAAGCGTTTCTGCGGATCGAGAACCGCGAAGCTTTTGCGGAGAGAAAAACATGGCAGATTCCTGGGAGTTGGTTGATGGTCTCGCAACAATGTGTGCACTTGTCAGCAAAGCAGACGTTGCCAGCCCCAGCTCAAAATCACAAGCTTTCAAGTGTGGTACCCCGTCCCTGTGCCAGGGTCAGCGATTCCGGAACCTGAAGGGGCGCTTTCACCTTTCATTGTGTCTTGAGCTTTCACGTCCATGCGATACGACTACCAAGGCGTGCTGGGAGAAATCCTCCAAAAGCTTCCACCGCCGCCCAAAACACCAAACAGAACCCTTGCACCCCCGGGGCAGCGAGTTGCAAAGTGCTCTCCTGGCCAAGCGGCTGAAGCAGCAGCCGCGACAGGAGAGCGGACCAAATCGTGACCGAGGCATAGACCACTGCAAAGATGGAGCTCCCCGCCTCCAGTGGGTGAGGTGGAGAGTGACTCAAAACGCTTGGTGTGCTCCGCGGCTACAACAGCAAGCAAATCCCCCACAATAACAGATTTGATTGCACAGACTACATAGGAACCCCCTGATACCCCTGATGCCCAAGCCAGCCTAACTTCCACGCTCAGGCGGCTGCCGATTGATGCACGCAGCTCCCCCCATCTGCACACTACATTGGAATATGTTCTGGGCCAGGCCCAAAAATACAAAAGTCTCGTAAAGCGGCCACTAAGAGTTTGAATAAGAGCTGCAAAACGAGCGGCACTTAAAACTGCCTACCTTTGACTATCGCTCGCGAAATCCCTTTGTTTTCCTGACACATACTCATCATGTGTTGCAGGTCTTTCTCCTTATCTTCGCGTGAGGTGTCCCCGGAAAACCGTAATGCCGAGCGAAGGGAGAGGAACGAACACCATGACAAAGCAGGCAAAAGCAGAAACATGCAAGGCTGAAGAATGGGAATTCACCCAGAGGAAGGAGATGAATGACAAGCTACTTGTTTGGTGAGCAAGTCTCCCAATTCCCCACCCCACACCCCCAACCCCCCCACAAGAAAAAACAAACAAACAAAAACGGCCGAAAACCGCCGCCATCCCCCACCCCACACCAACCCCCAACCCCACAGAAAAAAAGAAGAAAAAAAACAGCCGAAAAGAAAAGAAAAAACAACCGCCGCCCTCTCTCGCCCAGGCGCCCGCATAGAGCCCGCCCAGTTCAAACTCTGCGCGGCGATCCCCAGCAGCGCCGTGGCGGCGCAGCGCCGCCACCCGGCTGCGGCGCTGCCGAGGCTCTCGGCGCCGCGAGCTAGGAAGAGGAGGCCGGTGGCGGCCATGCCGACGTAGTAGGGCACCTCGGAGAGGCGAACAACCGCCAAAACGTGCCCGGAGAAAAGGAGCCACTTGAAGGCCGCCGAAAAGGGGTTGGAGAGGGAGCGCATGAAGGGAAATAGGGGTAGATGATACGTATACGCTTGTATAAATTGGAGTATGCCTTTCAATGTATAGCATACACACTGGTGTATACATAGTTGCGAAATGTTGCGAACATGATCTACACTTGCCTATACAAAACAACGCAAGTAACTATGCAAACATGTGCACAAGCGCATGCACATAGCCAGGAGCAGGTTGCTTGATGGCTCTGGGATGTCCAGCAGGATGCGAGCTCAACCAATGAGTTCTCGTGTATCAACTTGGCCTCTCCTTTGAAAGGCTGAGCTACTCTTATCCTGGTCAAACATAGATGGGATCCCACTAGATTCAGTTTGGTTCGATCTCCTGTTGCCGCAGCCATCAATTTCTTCAACATGATACCTGAAGTGCACAGCTTGCTCTGCCGAAAGCAGTTTGCTTTTTGGGAACAATGGCTCATCTGAAAGAATGGCTTCCAAAACGCTTTAACTTGTCGTTTTCAAGGATGTGGAGAGATGGACTGGGCAGGCAGTTTCATGATCGAACTTGGTGAACCACTGTCGAGCAAGACCGAATGAACCCTATGAAAAAAACGAAAACAAAAAACACACACCTACGACCAACAGGGCACAAACATGACCTGAACACAGCTGAAGATGCCCATGGCAACTTTTCCCACGTGGTGAAAGTCATCATGTTTGATAATTTCCCGAATGGTCACCCATGTATCACGGACCTTTGGATCAACCCCCCAAATGCCCAACAAGAAAAACGATGATGACACACTTTCAGTGGTTTAATGGAAACTAATGTTAACCCCATATTAATCAACCCCAGTTGATTAATATGCGGGTGTTCACCTCGAAAAGTGGTCAAATTCCTCACATGTCAACCCAACGACACCGGGACCCCTATTCAGGTTGATGAATTGGGGTCTACATTACCAAACACCATGTATCACTGACCTTCTGATCAACCCCCAAATGCCCCAACAAAAACTGAAAGTCGAACGCTTTCAGCGGCTTAGTGGAAACTACCACATAATCCGTCATAATCCCCAGGTTCATTCTAGAGCGCCAGCCAGAAAGTGCCCAAACAAATCATTGTCAGAGTTTCCCTCCTACCACACACATGACCCGAACACACCTCAAAACACCCAAGAAATCAACTGAGTCATACTCAAAACCCGGTATTAAAATGGTCTACCCAGAGCCATGTAAAGAATCAAGAAGGCGGATAGCTATTTATGGTTGTCCCTCACTAAGCTTCATCTACCAAAGGGTTTTGAGGACGTGGCTCAACTGACGACGCCCTCGTCAGGATTTTGTCTTCTTCTCCCGCGCAGATTTGGTCTACATTACCAAACACCATGTATCACTGACCTTCTGATCAACCCCCAAATGCCCAACAAAAACTGAAAGTCGAACACTTTCAGCGGCTTAGTGGAAACTACCACATAATCCGTCATAATCCCCAGGTTCATTCTAGAGCGCCAGCCAGAAAGTGCCCAAACAAATCATTGTCAGAGTTTCCCTCCTACCACACACATGACCCGAACACACCTCAAAACACCCAAGAAATCAACTGAGTCATACTCAAAACCCGGTATTAAAATGGTCTACCCAGAGCCATGTAAAGAATCAAGAAGGCGGATAGCTATTTATGGTTGTCCCTCACTAAGCTTCATCTACCAAAGGGTTTTGAGGACGTGGCTCAACTGACGACGCCCTCGTCAGGATTTTGTCTTCTTCTCCCGCGCAGATTTGGTCTACATTACCAAACACCATGTATCACTGACCTTCTGATCAACCCCCAAATGCCCAACAAAAACTGAAAGTCGAACACTTTCAGCGGCTTAGTGGAAACTACCACATAATCCGTCATAATCCCCAGGTTCATTCTAGAGCGCCAGCCAGAAAGTGCCCAAACAAATCATTGTCAGAGTTTCCCTCCTACCACACACATGACCCGAACACACCTCAAAACACCCAAGAAATCAACTGAGTCATACTCAAAACCCGGTATTAAAATGGTCTACCCAGAGCCATGTAAAGAATCAAGAAGGCGGATAGCTATCTATGGTTGTCCCTCACTAAGCTTCATCTACCAAAGGGTTTTGAGGAGGTGGCTCAACTGACGACGCCCTCGTCAGGATTTTGTCTTCTTCTCCCGCGCAGATTTGGTCTACATTACCAAACACCATGTATCACTGACCTTCTGATCAACCCCCAAATGCCCAACAAAAACTGAAAGTCGAACACTTTCAGCGGCTTAGTGGAAACTACCACATAATCCGTCATAATCCCCAGGTTCATTCTAGAGCGCCAGCCAGAAAGTGCCCAAACAAATCATTGTCAGAGTTTCCCTCCTACCACACACATGACCCGAACACACCTCAAAGCACCCAAGAAATCCACTGAGTCATGCTCAACACCCGGTAGAAAAATGGTCCAAACGAATCCTCGTCAAGGAGTTCTCCGAGGCGCCATGTAGAGCTGGCACCGCGGGTCCCCCAGCCCCGCCTTATGCAGCTCCCACATCAGCAGCGGCTGCGCTGCGCCGCTGGCCACCTCGCCATGCGCGGCTTTGGGCGGGGGGGGGGCTCGGGGGCGGGTTGGGGGGGGGGATGGGAAGGGGTTGGCGGGGGGGGGTTTGGGGGGGTTTGGGGGGTTTGGGGGGGGTTTGGGGGGGGTTTGGGGGGGGTTTGGGGGGGGGGTGGGGGGGGGGGGGGGGGGGGGGGGGGGTTGGGGGGGAGGGTGGGGGGGGTGGGGGGGGAGGGGAAGGTCCGACCCTAGGACCGGACTCACTTGGGTGAAGACTCGCTTTTCCGAAGCTCATGGCCCCAAAAGAAAGGTCCGAACTTTAGGTTTACCACTAAAAATCCTCTTAAGTCCTGAGTGGATGGCCCAAACAAAGTAAAACCAACCAAAGTGATAATTTACCACTTCAACGTCCAAACCAAGAGCTTTTGAAGTCCCTGAACTCAGGAAGTGAAGGACCGGAAACCACGACCCTCTTGCAGCTGCATCTGATTTCTTTTTGGGCTTCCCCATATGACAAACCCATGGATGGCCATCCTTCCGGAAACCATCCCCTACCCCTGTATCTTTCTGATTGGGCTTTAGGACAAGCCCAACGCGGATGGACAAAATCAGCTTCGCAGCCAGGATTGGTTTTTGCCTATTCTCCGCGGGAACATTCAAGACTCCATACCAGGGCTGTGAGGAATGACCACTTCTGTGATACAACAAAAAGGGCTTCCCAAAGACTGCTTTGTTCGTATGAAGGGGGATTCCCTCGTATCACAGAAGTGGTTGGATCCCACAACCCTGCTCCATACTAGCTGTGCGGGTTTTCCACGACGCGCTGGAAGCCCCTAGTTTGGCAACGGGCGCGACTCGAACAGCCGACCGTTGCGAGGATATGGACTCTGGGACTTCCGCGGGGAAAGTCTCAAATTATTGATGCGATGTTCAGCCGGGCGTACCAATCGAAGTGGCTCGGCATACCAACTAGCTAGCCAACTAACCGAGCTAGCGTGCTAAGGCAATTGCGCGGCTAGCTAGCCGACCTAGCTGGCTACTTAGCTAGCTTGCAAGAACCCGCGAGCTAACTAGCTAACTAGCTCTCTTTAGCTAGCCGGGTCTCCCAATTTGCTATGCCAACTGGCCAGCTAACTTGCTCACCAGCTGGCTGCCGAACTTAAAAAGCTTTGTTGGTGGACCGAACCCACCTGACAATTTCTATGAAATCCCTTGAGATAAACTTTGCCCTATGCAGGATGGACACCCTGCAAGCCATTGTGCAACACGTGATGGCAAATTGGGTCCGCCATCCTTTGTCTCTTTCTTTTCAGGAGTTTTCCAAACCCCGGGGCTCAAATCTAGAAGACTACCCTCAAGGACGCATCGCTTTGCCACACGAAACCCGCGCTGCGAACTATTCCCTTCATAGCCTATAGGCATGGGCGGCAACATCAAGCAACATACCTCCATTTGCGAACACGCCCCCCAGGAAAAATGAGAAAATCAGTCCAGTAGTGCAAATTGATCCCCTTCAAAGCCAACCGGTTGGAAAATAAACAGATTATTAAGTTAAGCAAATGGAAGCTCATACGTACGTGCTTCTAGATAAGTATACAGAGGTTAACTTAAGTTGGTGCGTGCCCTTGGCTGCTAGCCTGTGTCGTGGCTGAGGCAATGGCTGTATCGAGTTGGTCAACTTGCCCACCAGAGTCTCAAGAGCTGGCAGAAGGGCAAGCAACAATAATACACGCTTTGTCAATAGCTATGGCCTGTATTTAAAAAAATGTTCATGGACACAACACTTGAACCCTTGCTTCAAGGGAGGGCCGCGTTCGCATTGCTTCGCCTGCACCAACCCCGGCCGAGCCACATACAGCGCCAAGTAGGGAAGCACGGGAACCGTCCCGGCCATGGCTGAAAGCACCGGATGCTAGGCCCAGCACCGGATGGCCAGTTGGAAGTGTTGGGCTTGGTGTCAATTCATCCAATCAGTTTCCTTCCAGTTGGTGGTTTGGGACTTTTGGATTGGTTCAGGAAGGCTTTCCCATTTACCCTCTACAAAGGCCAGGGGTTCAAATCTCCAACCCACCCATCCACCAATTCAGCATTGATGCAAGCCTCAACCCCAAGCCTCGACTCGGGCAGGGCTGAATGCTTTACGGCCGGCCCTTCTAAAACTTCGAGCTGAGCTATCAGGCTTGATCAGTACCAAACCGGCATGCCGCTACAACGCGCAGGGCAAAAACTACGCAGGCAGTTTGATTACACATAGTTGTTAATTTGCAGGGGGGCAATCATTTCCCTAATATGCGAGAAATGTTCAAATGTCAGGTCGACATGGAACACAGGTCAATGGGATCTCAGTAGAATTGCAGAAGATGGCAGCCTTTGACAAAAGAAACCGTGTTGCTAGTGTAGGCCTTCCAGGCAGCAACTGCAAAGCCTTCACTGAACGCTTTGCGTTTCCAAGCTCTGGTCTAGACTCCATGGGTGTCTTTTTGCCACCTTTGTGAGAAATGGGCGGCCCCCTCCAAAAGGAATCCTTTACTAAGGGGGGGTCGGTCAATATTTTTCAGAAGGTGGCAACAAGACCCTCCTGGCCTGGACTCCCCTGACGCTTCAACCCCCCCGCCCCGTCCGGAAGGGCACCGGTTGGACGACCGCATGGCCAGCATCTCCTCCTCATCCGAGTCCATGGCAGCGCGGGCTCGTGAGGCCGGGCTTGTGCGGGCAGGCAGGGGAGGAAAGGAGTGCAGGGAGCTACTCTCGCCGATTTGTGCGGTTTGTTGTGGTTCCAAGCAGCACTCAACACACGGTGGGCCCCCTTCAACAAAAAGATGCTGTCAGACTTCAACTGAGTTGGTGCCTGGTGGTTGAATCGTGGGGCTCGCTGCAAGGTTTTGAGGAGCATTTGGGCTGACTGGGGGGTGGTGGGGGGCTTGTCTGTCAACCTGCACTGCCGACCGGACGCCACGCAAAGCCAGTCCAGGCCGCGCAACGGCGCAGCAACATCCAGCCAGCAGTGAAGAACTAATTGGCTCACACGGCCACTACATGGCAAACTGCCCATACAGCTGCTGTGGGCTGACCAAACCCAGGCGAGGGCCGCGCTGGAAATTTGCCTCTCCCAAAGGAGTCCTGGCCTGCCTGCCTGAAAATCGATGCCGAGAAAGCGGCACGAAAGATATGTACAGTCGCCCCAAGATCTCCAGAATCCCCGGGCGAGCCTGTCTATGGGGTGCGCAGTGAACGCCCCCTCCTGAAAATCCCAATATGTCAGCAGTGCTCGAAGCCAGTCCATCAATACCTCCGATGAGCCCTGGCTTCGAGCACGCGCGAAAAAGGACACCGGTGAAACGCTCCCCAAAACCGCAGGGCACCTTCCAAAGGAGCCCGGATTTTCACTCCGCTCACCCGGCGATGGAGAGGTCCAGGCCTCGGTCCGTGACCTCTGCCCAAACCCGCACATCCTCTCCTGGGGACGGTGAGCGAGGCAGCGAGGCAGCGAGTCATACTGACGGCTGCGAAATCCGCTTCTCGCACCCCCTAAAAAACCTGGAGATTCGATTCCCTTGTAAATAGCAGCAAGCAATGGTTTCCCATGGGTTTCGAGAGAGCTGCATGCGAATGTTGATCCCACATTAATCAACCCCGGTTTATGAATAGGGGTCCGGTGTCCCTGAGTGAAATGTGGGGAATCAGACCACTTTTGGAGAACAATTCCTGTTCATAACCTGGGGTTGAATATGGGAAAAACGTTACTGCCTTTCACTTCTGCAGCTGCACCTGTAAATAGATGCACCTCATGTGACATGCGCACCATTTCAGCGATGCTCTCATTCCAAGGGTCCAAGGGACCTGACCAGGCTTGAACCAAAGGACTCACCGGAAAGAAAAAATCACCACAGGGTCTGATGGGTTTTCGGAACGACCTTGCAAGCAAGTATTTCAGGCTGCGACTTTCTGGGGCCAAGTCTGGCCCCAGATTCTGACCAGTTCTTTGTCTTATCTGCGAGGAACTGCCAGAAAGAGACGCCCAACAACACTTCCATTCACTTTCCCGAAAAGCCCATACATGTCCCCAGCATATGGGCAGCCCCTACCACCTCACGAACAACACAACTCCAACCCAATCAAGCAAGTTATGCGTCATAGACTAGCGGAACTTGTTGAACAACCAGCCCCTGCTCTTCGTCGAGAGAAAGGCCAAAGGTGGCTGGCTTAACAATGCATCTCTAAATCTGTTGAAACAACTTCCATTTGCTTTTACGCCCCCTGGAAGACAATGTGACAATATGTCCAGTGAAATCGATGCCCTTTACAACCAACAAGGGAAAATAAGAACCGTGCATTCACTTCAGCAAATGGAAAAGTCATTGGCCCCAAATGGATCCAACCGATGGCCTTCTGCAAGCATATCCAGGGCGTCATCGCCCAGCTCGTCCGCGAGGAGCGCCTTGAAGTCCTGCGAGAACCGCCGGCCACCTCAACTGACGCGCAACCAAAGGACCTGGAAAAAAAAGATTCAAGTTTTTCCGGACCCTTGGCCGAAACTGGGCCAAGGCTTGGTCACGTTGGCAGAGGTTTGTCTCTCCACTGGGCAAAGTGGGGAAATGCCAAAAGACGAACAGGGCGATTCACTTCAAAACTGCTGAGCTGATTCCCATCCAGGCTGCCAAACAGAACCAAGCCATCAGTGAATCAGCCCATTGCCGGCAAACCACTCGTCAAAAAACAACAACATGTGTTCGCCCACGTGCCTCAACCATAAACCCTTGTTTAGCTGGGGTCCACGTAGGAGTGTGCAATCCTTCAGGGCCTTCTGTAGGCCATATAGTCTGGCAAAGGCACGTCCCCCTAAATCAAGACGTAGCTGGTTGCGGCGGTCAAAAATAGGTACCCAAAATGGGTTGCCCTAGTAAAAGGAACCAAGGACTAAACCCTGCGGTCCATCACTTGGTCGAATTTTGACCCATGCCCACTTGTCCTCACCAAAAAGTTCAGTCCAGCTGAAACAGGAACAACCAGAGCCTTTTGTAGGCCTTCTCTGCCAAAGGCACGCCCCCAAGCTTCCATTTGCTAAAGTTTTAAAGCCCCCTGAAAAAACACAAGAAGCAGTGAAATCGATTCCCGTTAAAAAGCAACCAGGGACAATCAAACAAAAACGCGGAACAGTAGTGAAATCGATTCCCAATGAAACCAACAAGGGGGATTTGCAAAAAAAACAACAAAAAAACACCCATACAAGGGCAAACGGTTGATCCTTAGAAGAGAAAGGTTTAGGCTTCAGGGTTTAGAGTTTAGTGTTTGGCAAGTTCAAGCGCGCGCCCCGACGCTTAAAGCGTCGAACCGGCGCGCTGCAACTGGAACCAAAGGCTTCTCACTTCGCCATGGGTCAAAATCCCGTACCCCCAGTGAACATCCCAATCCCAACTAAAATCGGTCCTAAAATGGGTGGTAAATTCACCTACCAAGCAAAATGGGATCCCAAAAAGGTTTTGACAACCACGGCCACTTCGCCCCCAGCGCGGGCCGAAAGATTTTCAGCGCTGCCTGGCCCCCGCCCTTCCAGAGCCGCAGCCGCAGCTTGCCCCTGGCCGCGTCCAGGTCCTGGATCTGCACCTGGCGCAAGGCTGCCGCGGCCAGGTGCTCTTTTAACGACATATAGAGATATATATATTTTACATGTGTGCGCGTAAGTATGTACAAACACACACACACACACACACACACATATATATATATATAGAGAGAGAGAGAGAGAGAGCGGCCCGCCATGGGGCCTGTGTTTTTGAAATCAGGCTCTGTATATGTATGAATAGAAATAATATATATATATATATATATCTATATCTATGTATTATAACACCTACGCACGTCTGCACTTACATCTCTGCTCATGAAGTTCAATCTTGGGCCACTTCGTTCAATATGCATCAACGTGTGCAAAGCCTTATAAACACCTTTGCAGACGGTCGTTTTTAGTACTGTGAATGAACTAGCCTGACAAATTATGTTAACACCATACTTGGTTCTATGTCCCATGCCTATGTATGAGTTACAAAGAACTTTGATAGCAATTGCATTCGCATGCCTGAAGCAGGGGGGGAGAGTGAAAGCTAGCCGCCAGCTCAGCATAGTCAATTGCAAAATCGGTGGACGCCTGAGGTTGCGTGATGAGAAGTACGTTTGCACACTTGCGATCCCTGCCAATGTTTTAGAACAGAATGAGCGGCAACATCTCTCAAAACGGGCGCCCTGCAAGCCAGAGTCTGTTAGTGACGAGAGTGCCCCGTTCTGAGGGTGTCTCTCAACCATGTTCACATGGCGTGATCATTGTTGGGCCATGCGAACGGGAAGCACCTAGCAAAGGGCACCTGTGTAAGGGAGCCCCTTACCCAGCGGCCGGGCCCGGCCCTGTCACCAGTTTCACACCCTAGATCAGCCAACTCCATGAAGCGTGAGCTTCAAATCACCCGACTTCTTTCAGCACGTCCAGTACCGGCCTTGACGCGCTGGTTCACCTCCACCTTCTTGTTCGGCAGGAAGCCTGCCACAGTGGCCGCGGGGTGCACCACCTCCACCCAGGAGCCCTGCTCCTGTCGACGGGCTGGGGCCGGCGGACCCGGAGAGCTACCATTTGGGGGGGTGGGCATAGTGAACATTAGCGAACCTTTGAAACATCGGGAGGGTGAGCTCTCAGCTGTTGACTTGGTTGACGTTGGAAGGGGGGTAAAAAAAAAACTTTTTAGCGGCTAAGTGGGGCTTTCCCACTAAACCACGATAAGCAAAAGTGTAAAATGTTTCCCAACACCATGTTGAGAGCATGCTCACATAGATGAAATGGTTGCAAGCCTATTGAAGCCTTCGGCTACGAGAAGTGGGCCTAGCTGTGGGGCGATCAATTGGCGTTGTTCCCAGCCTCCCTTGTAGTCAGTGCGCCCACCATCCGGCCCCTCCAACACATTGATGTGATGGCCATGTGACCGCCCTCAGAATGGTGGACAGTTTGGCTGGCCCAGGCATACATCCCGCCTGATAATACTTGTTGAAAGCCATTTGAGGAGCCATTTCAGAGATGGATTCACTGGTGAGGCATCGCCCTAGAGGCAAGTTTGCACAAACAACTGCCAACAAGGTTTTGCTTTGCTGCTTTGTTGCAGTTCAAAGTGAAGTATGTGGCTCAAAGGTTTGGCAGGCCCCCTTAGACTGTCGTTACCCGGAACCACAAAGCTGTGCTCCGACCCGGCGTGGACATCCGTCCCAGGTGGGTGCGGAACTTATGACTGCAAATGTTCAAGCTATCAAACTTTCGTTTCCCAAACATATGTTTTTACAAAATTGGTTCAGAAAAAAAAAGGCAAACAGGTGCCCAAACATTGGAACAACTCGCCGCCCGTTCTCCTCCACTGAAAGAACCCGGCCGTCCAACACCTCCGTACAGTTCCTCATGCAAGTTGCCGGAAGGGATGAGAAGGGCATCCCGATTCGGCCACTTGAACTTGTGTTCTTGGGCTGTGGTCAGATCCCCTGCTAAAAGTTGTTCACTTGTAGTGGGTTAAATGAAAGCTTCCACTAAACCAAGAAGACATCAAATCCTAAGGGGATGGCTGAGAACCACCAAGTGCTCTGCTGAAACTACAAGCAACTGACCCTGCAAAAATATGTTTTTGGTTGGTCACTCTTCTCTAAGATCAGTGGCTTGGTGGTTACCAAGCTATCGACTGTGACGCTTGCCAGCCTGGAAAGGGGTTTCATGCCCGGTTCAGTGAGAGTCACCGCTGTTTCTCGGAGGGTGCGCAAGCTGGTCACTCTTTGCCAGTTCGCCAAAGCGCCAACCTGACGGCTACCCTGATAAAATCTCCGACCCTGATAACATCCCCGTGAAGCGGCGAAGCCCCACTGCAAGCGGGGTTAAACAGGGGTCCTTACATTATACACCTGAACATTGCCTTGTACATGGTGGTGTCCCTTCGACTTGGTGAAAAAAGCTATGTTTCACATGGTTTAAATGTATCTTTTAAGCAGCCCTGTTAAACTACTGCAGCTAAGCTTCTCCAGCAAGGCCAGCTGTTCTTCACGCGACAAGTGCGCCGGCCGGGTGGACAGATACATCCAGCCCTTTGCAGGATCTACGGAGAGGACCCGTACGCGCACCTGGGACCGACTCAGACTCACTGGGATTGTGCAGTACCCACCCTCTGACATACCTGTAGTCATTTTTGAGCTGCTAGGGCGAGAAGAATTGGGTTTCACCCACACGAGAATAAACTATTTGGAAGTATGGAAGCAATAAGTGAGTAGTGCTCAGATTAGACATTGACTGTTTCCAGCATGCGTAAGCGCTTAGGATGAATGTGTCTGTTCAATGAGTCTGGCAATCAAACTGGGCGAGGCTTAGAACGCACCAAAACCTTATCCCAGCCCAAGGTCTAGGAATGGAACAAGATACGCAGGGTGCTTGACAAGCTTCACAAACCTTCCATGCAAAACTTGCCCACGCAAACCTCTACATCGCGAACCACAATAACTCATTCCAAAGGAGCTGCCTGGGCAAGTAGGCGATCATGCGCGATCATTGTTTCCGTTGTCCAAGTCAAAATCTCCAAGGAAGCAGTCACTCTAGAACAAACCAAGTACACCCTTTTTGAGGAGGACCATGTTCAGATATGTTTAGCAATGACACCCACGATTGTGAAGATTTTGATCAGAGATGTCCCATTTAAGAGAGACGCCTTCACTGTGTCACTGTTCTGCGGACCCGCGTTTTTCATCTTGCAGACTCTGCTTAGCCCAGGCAGCCATCCAAGAAGCACGCGCCAAACAAGTATAAACATGTGAACCCTTGAAATGGACGACACGTCGACCTTCCCTGTCAAGCCTTCGCAATTCTGAGCTTTGCTCCTTTCTGGCGAGGGGTTAAACAAAAAGAAGGCGTCCATTTTCCCCACAAAAAGAAGGGCAAAGGGTAGACAGAGTGGGGAGTGGCTCTGGGTCCTAACCATTGCTGAAACCAGGGTCAGCTTCCCTCCAATTGGTGGAGTGGATTGGTGGTCTGGCAGGTTGAACCCCGGCTTCCAAGCCAGCAGGGGCAGAGCACCCTCTATACGCAGGGGTTAGGTCATGCGGATGGACCACCGTTCCTCGTCTGATTCAAGCCTCCACAAATACCAACAAGCGTCCTGGTTTCAACCATGGTTTCATTTCGTGGCGCGTGAAGCGGAAATCGCGACCATGCACAGCAGGGGACGGAATGTACCCCCTAAGGTAACCACCAAACCAAACCACCAAGCGGTTAGGTGATACTGGGGCCAAACAATTCTTTAAGCCAAACCCCTCCAACTGCCCACCCCACCACCCGCCCCCCCCCCACCCTACCCCACCCCACCCCACCCCACCCCACCCCTCCAACCGCCCCCGCAGCCACCTGCCCGCCTCCTCGCCTACTGCCAGCTCCCCGCACTCCGCGCTCCGCGCCAGGCCCTCTGCCACTCCCCCGGAGCCGTCCTCGGCGAGTGAGGCAGGCGGGCCTTGGGTTGAAGTCCACCGATTCAACCGGAAGCCGCGACCCTTTTTGTTGGAACACCCGGTGTTTTTGTTTGTGTTTTATCAATTATTAGTTCTATTAGCATTTTCATTGTTACTATTATTATTATTATTATTCTTATTATCTCTCGTGCTATCCCGGCCCGAAACTAGGAGCACTCTTGGCCCAGGGCACTCTGACAACGCCGGTGCTAGTTGGCCAACAGTTGAGGTGGCTAAGTTGCGTTCTTTTCTTGAAGGCACCTGCTCCACCACATCCTTCTACCATACAAAACCAACGGTTCTGGGGGGTTCAAGCAAACGTTGAAACAGCCAAGCTGTCGTTCAAGGAAAACCCAAAGGTTAGGTACCCCCAAGCCACCTTTGCTTTTTTCACATGGATGCGTGTTTCTTAAACCCCAAAGTTTGCGATGTTTTTCCTTTGCTTCCCGTCAAACCGGCCGTTAACAGGGCTGCCCTCAGTAAAACACACAACAAACCGTTCTCCTTGAAGAATCCCCATCCCCTTCCGCTTGAAAGCATCCGGGTTTGGATTTGTTTGGAGTCTGGCTCACCTGAGCTCCATATTGGAAACCCAGCCTTCGGGTCCGATCCGAGCGATCCGCGCGATGCTCGGCTCGGGTGCCTCCACCGCCACGAAAGCGCCCAGGCCGAAGGGAACCCGCAGCACGCGGCCCACGTACCATGCGCCCACCTCGAAGTCCTGGGGCTGGAGAGGGGGTGATCCAACCGAGAGGGTACAGGACAAACATCCCCACCCATTAATTAAGGGGGGGGAAGTGTTGGAGGGGGGGTGGGGTGGAGAAAACATGGTCAAATATTTTTGGTTGGCGTCAAAGTTGGCTTTGGCTTTCTTTGGCTTCGGTTTCCTTTGCTTCCATTTGGTTGCTTTTGATCTCCTTTGATCTCCGGTTTCTCCTGGAGACAGCGCTGGTGCCCTCGCGGCAGTCCAATTGCAGCTTCTTGCTGCGACAAAGCTGAAGGGTTCCACGTTTTCCCTTTGGGAGAATGAACCATTCTGGGGTTTAAGCTGACCCTGGGGTAGCCAGAACCTCTGGATTTAACTCTATCTGGGTGGAACTCTGGCAATACGTGAGGGTTCTGAAACAAACGAGAGAGCTTCCCAAAGCTCGCATCCCATTCAGCGGGCGCGGGCTTTGGGAGCCCTGGAAGGGAGATCTTAGCCGCTTCGCCCCGATCGGCTTATGCTTTCGGCAAGAACGGCTGGGCGCGTTTTCGTGGCCCGTTCAGCTCACTCCTGTGCTCTATTGCGCATAGGGACGCCATACGCGAAACCAACAGGCATCAGGACCTGAACTGGCAAATCTTGACGGGTCGCAAAGCCCTTTGAGGTTGCTGGAGTCCTGCGCGGGCTGGACCAACCCTTTGTCTAAGAACATATTTGCTCACCCTTGCTTAAACAACCGTTTCGGTCTTCCCTCATTTTTGGAAACCAAATCCAGATCCAAACGCCTCAGTTGACTCCAACTTCTCCAATCCAATCCTCCCTCCTTGAGGTCGGCGGGCGGGCCCAGCGACTCCGGCTTGAAGACCTTGTTGGGGTCCGCAGCTAGGATCAAGGTCCTGGCAGGTGCAAGCGACCAAAGGACGAGCAAAGGACCCCATGGCGTTCTGGGAAAAGGGGAACTGGAAAAGGCACCTAGGTAAATAAGCCGTCAATAAGCCGAAACCTAAAGCTTGTGTCTCGAAGGGTTCAAAACACACACACCTAGTTTGTTTTTAAAGCTGCCCAGCTGTTCAGTGATTTGTTCTTTTCGGGCGCATAGAAGTCCGTGCACAACATTTTGGCATGGCAAAAGCAAACATCATTTCTTGTTTTTTGGCAGCCCCCCACAAAAAGAGGGCTGAAAACTCAAACACCAACAACTGCGAAGCACAACCCCGATGAAAGGAGTCTTTGAAATTATGTATACCTATATATATATGTGTGTGTGTGAATTTATGTATTGTATTTATGTACCTATGTATGCATCTCAGACGCCCAGCGGCCATAGGAAAAAAAGGCCTCCTTTTTTGGTTGGTTGAGTTTAAAGGGGAACCTTTCCCCAAAAAAAGGAAAAAGGGGCAACAAAGGGATATATATATATACATATATACATACACATACACATATGTAGATATGTGTATATACCGCTTCAGAAGTTTTGCAACCTGCACCCCGCAACCCACCTGTGCCCCGGTCGTTGAGAAGCGCGTCCTGCGCTTCCGCTTCGAGCTCCGCACCTCGCTGACCCAGACCTGCACGCGGTCCCCCACCTGCGCCTCAGCGAGATTTCCGGGCGGAAGGGACGCGGCCAAGAAACACGCGGAAAGGGGGGGGGGGTGGGTGGAGGTGAGGGGGGAGGGGAAAAATAGTAAAAGGAGAATTCAAAGAATTATTCTTGATACTATTTTTTCTCCAACAGCAACACAACAAACAGAAAACAAAATCCAGAACAACAAGCAAACAAAATAAATAATCACAACCAACAACAAAAATATTTAATCACAGCATACAACATTAAATAATTCAAACAAGCATACCAACAAAACAGCAACACTCTAAATCATCAAAGAACCCAAACTCAAAAACACACATCAACAAAAATAAAAGCAACATACCAACAAAAAATATCGCAAGAGTATCAAACAAAACAAAAACAAACAGCCAAAGCACGAAAAAAATGAAGAAGCGTGCCAAGTCTAAACAACGCACTTTGAAAGAGACAAGCAAATTAAGAAAATATAATAATTCAATCTTTACAAACGATAAGTATATTACAATTGTAACATATAATATTTTACATGTTATTATAATATGATTAAACCTATTTTCGGTGTTTCCAGTCGCCTATGTTGTTCCAAGAACTGCTTAAGATGTTTCTGATATTATACCAGATTAAGTTAACGTCATAATCTTTCATTGGTGCTCTTTGTTGTATTAAATAACGCAACACTGATACCAAAGTATAATAATTACAATGCATTGTTGTCATTCCTCCTCTTTCATTAATACTATTACCATTACGTTTAACGAGTTCTTCTTTCATTATGTTTTCGTAAATCTCTTTTATCCGTTGATGATTTGGTTCTCCATACTCAGCGAACATATCTGGATATATATCTTTCATTGTTTTATCGTTTTTAATTATTTCAATGACTTGTTTATACGATGGATAGGGATTATCCTTAATGAAACTCAATATTATCTTTCTATCCTGTTCCAGCTCTTTTTCTGTCACTCCTATTTTCCTCTTATTCTATTAAGTATTTATTCCTTTAAGTCATTTTACATTATAATTATAACATATAAGGGCATAAATGTTATAATCATAGTATGGTTTATGGACTAATCAACAAATAACAGATATCTTCAAAATGCGAGCCCACCGTAAATCCAAAAAACAAGCTATGTTAATCCAAAAAACAAGCTATGTTAATCCAAAAAACAAGCTATGTTAATCCTTAATCCGTCAAACTCACCAAGATTTCACAAATTAATTCGCTAGGTATTTTATATAAATCTTCCTGCTTATGTATTATTGGATTGTCTCCCCATTTTTCCTTGGTGCCTGATGGAAGCCGTTGTGCAGTTTCAATATGTTTATTATTCCTGATGTTGTCACAATCCTTTTTACATAAATCTCTAGGTTTCCAAGTTGTAATGTTATTCCAGAGCCTAGTGCGTTTTCTGTAAGGCATTCCATATTTACAATAATCTACATCTTTAAAATCAAACTCATCCATAAACTCCTGATTTTTTAATAATCCAGTTTGTGGATTTTCGATTACAAAATATTTAGGATTGAAATATTTGATAATCTCAATAGTTTTTAAGACAATACTATTTGCATATTCGATATTCCTAATTCCCCTAGTTTTTGCTACACTATATTCAGTGCATGGGGGACTACTCCAAATAAAATCAAAATGGTTTCTGTCAAACTGTTTGTAATCCCACTCCAAAATATCAGTGTTGATATCAGCATTTTTCAAGTCTAATGATATTACATTAAATCCAAGCGACTTTGCTATGGTTCCGACGCTTTTTGTTCCGCTAAATAATTCTAATAAATTCATTTATTAGAATTATTTAGATATTAATTATTCTAATACATATACTCCAGTATCATTTTTTGTAATTTTATAATAGTCTAATGTTTGTTGCTTTGGTTGTTTGATTTTATTACTATTCAACATTTCACAGTATTTATTTTGTTTTGTAGGATAATCACCCGTTGGTCTTCCTATAGATTTTGCTTGAAATATCTTTTCGATTTTCTCCTTCTCTTCGTTGCTTTGTTGTTCGCGCTCAACTGGTTTCATTTTGTCATCAATGGATTTAATCATATCATTTAAGGTTTTGATATTTTTACCAATTAATGTTATCTTCTTCATTAAATCATTAATAGTATAATTTTCATTTTCAGACATTACTATATATCTATTTAGATAATTATTTATTTAATTATATATTTATAAAGTGCAATTCTGTTAAATCTCTTTAAATACTAATTTTCATGATTTGTTTAATAGTTTCCTGAGTTTCCTTATCACCATTTTCCGAGAGTGATGCATCCTTACCCCATTTAAAAGTTATACTATGGACATCAGTTTCTAAGCTGATACTGCCTTTAGTTTCATCAATATTCATTTTCTTATGATTTTTACTTATTTTGAAACTTGTTGGAATACATGAACATTTACATTTTTTATTATTTTCTATTTCTAATTCATTTTTCATCTCTAACACCCTTTTACACATCGGACAAGAAAACTCAATTACTGCTGTTTCTTTAACAATTTCTTCTTTTTCTTCATCAGTTGAAGAAACTGTAGTATCTGTTTTATTCTTTCTGTTTTTCTTTTTTCCCATTTATATTAATATATATATTTTTAATATATTGTATCAAAAACTTAATTAATTCTAAAATATAATAACATATTTTTTTACATCTATTATCAGTTATTAGTACTTGTTCTATATTCTCCATTTCATCTATTATATTAATATAATCTGTATAACTCCTTTTCATATTAAATAATAAGATAAATTATTTTTTCATTTCTGTCTTTCTTTTCTTGTAAAGTTTTTTCATTGTATCGTCTTTATTCCATCTATATTCCACAAATTTCTGATGATGTTTTGAATTTAGATGTTTAAATAAATATTTGTCATCATAAGTTTTACCACAACTGCAATGGATAATAGTCATATAAATAATAAGATAAAATATTTATTTAATCTTATTATTTTCATGCATGATAGAATATTCGGAGGGCACAGCACTGGGGTTTTCTTTACAATGCATCAAACTAATTAGCTTCAATGCTCATTGATTGAAGCAATGGAAATCCAGTTCCATTTAATATTAAATAGAATATGTATTTAAACTATTTTCTTTAGTAAGTTTTATTGCAGTTGATAGACTAACATCTTTAATATTAATATCAATAACTTCTTCTACACTATTTATCATTTCATTTGTATACATATCGGGATAATCTTTCATAAAATTTACTAACTTTCTAAAATTAAAATCTAGGTTATTGTCATTTTCAATTGAGGACTTGGATACTACGATATTTTGTTTTTTAATTGCCGATAAAAAGTATAACATCGTATCATAATATATTTGTTCAGTGTCGGGCACTAAGATATCACCAAATTTATATATCCTCCGAATACTAGCCACTTCACTTAAATTAATAGATTCTATTGCCATTATGATATAATTATATTATATATATATTTTTTATAAGTATTTATAATATTATTTTTATTATGCCTGATGTAAAACCAATTGATGAAATCAAATACGACTTTAAGCAAAGTAAGCATGAGGTTGTCCCTAAATTGCCTATGAGAGCTATGATCGTCGGTCCATCTGGAAGTGGAAAATCAACTTTACTTGTATCAATGATACTTGATATTTATAGAGGTGCATTTGAAAGAATTTTTATCTGGTCTCCATCAGTAAATTTGGATAGTATTTGGTTGCCTGTTAAAAAATACATTAAAGAAGGTTCAAAAGTTGATACTGATAAAGAATCGTGTTGGTGGGATGAGTTCAATGTTGAAGATTTAGAAAGAGTTATAGAAACTCAAAATAAAATAATTGAATACCAGAAAAAACAAGGAATGAAAACGTTATTTAATATATTAGTTATATTGGATGATGTATCTGATAATCCAGCAATAACAAGAAATAACAAATTGTTAAATTCTTTATTTTGTAGAGGTCGTCATAGTGGAATATCAACACTTGTAAGTCTTCAAAAATCATCAACAGTACCACCAATTATTAGGGTAAATATAAGTCATTTGTTTTATTATAAAGTTAGAAATTTTAAAGAGATAGAAATATTACAAGATGAATTATCAGCAATTGTTAGAAGCGATAATTTACATGAAAGCAAGAAACTAATTTATAAAATATATGAGACTGCCACTGATGAACCGCATAGTCTTTTTATATATTAACCTTTTAGAAAAGAACCCAGATAAAATGTTTATGAAAAAGTTTTCTCAATATTTGAAAATTACTAATTAAATAATGAAATCATTAAATAATTAAATATATATTAATATTATATGATATTTTATGATTTACCATTAGAAATTAAAAAAAATATTATCTTATAATTTAGGTGATGTTAGATTATTAAAAATAAAAAATAGCAATATTGTTAAAAAATATATTCGTAAATATAAACCAGTTTATAAGTCTTACACATTAAATAACATACATTATTTTGAAATTGATAATATCAATATTAATAATGGAATATCATATATTTTTAATTTAAGTGAGTTAGATAAATTACATAAAAAATATAAACCATTAAAATTTTTAATTGAATATGAGATACTTGCTACATTTGCTTCATATAAATGTATGAGGCATGTCTGCGATCGCGCTTTAACATCAAATAATTTATTTGATATTTATTATTTTCTTAATGAAGACCTTCGTGCAATTAAATTAATCTATAATAGCGATAATAGCTATAATACAATTAATGCTACTTCAGAACAAGTGAAAAAATAACTATTAAAATCATCAATGATGATACACGAAGTTTTATTATGAGTAAATTTTATTCATATTTTTTTAATTAATAGCATTACGCCATAGGCTTAATTTCATTAATTCAGAACAAACTATAACTACACAAATTTAACGCTGGTAATTTATATATTAATTTGTCACTTTTTACTTTCTCCAGTTTTTCTAATCTTTCACTCATTTGCTTAATTGCGTTCAACTGTAATTTATCAA